ATAATTCGCGCCGGGACTCTTTCACCATCTCATGGGTTCCATCTTGTAATAGCAGTGTTAGGCTTGTCTTGAAATCTAACCACCATTCCTGGCACTCAAAATCAGCTGTTCTGAGAAAGACATTCCAAATATTTTTGAAACGTTCTATAAATGGCTTTCGAGTTACAACTGCAGAGTTGCATATCCAACGATGATATGAAGAAGCACTAGAGGGCATCTTAAGTTCGATTGAAATGCTGTCATGATCCGACAAACCGATAGGAACATATGATACTCGCTGTGTGATATTTCGTATTGATTTGATTCCAAAGAAGAAATCTATACGACTATGAACATTATGAGAAATGCTATGCAGTGAGTACACTATAGTACGAGGATGTTTCGACCGAAAAAGTTCAAATAAATGGAAAGGTTGAATAATCTCCCTTCTCAAACACGGATAGGATTTATCATCTCGTTCACTGCTTCTATTTCGATCCCGTTTAGGATCAGATACACAATTGAAATCACCGCCGATTAGTAGGAAAGTACTAAATGGTATGGAAGGAGCTACGTCATTGAAAAACTTTTGTCGTTGAGCCGGTCGATTTCCAGGAGCATACACACTAACAAAAACGATGGGAGTATTTTTAACCACCAATTTGACGAAAGTATAAATGAATCATTTTTAGATCATTTATGATCATAACTAGCTCATTTTAAGGTTGTTTATTGTCACATATCTGGCACATAATAAGGTCATTTTCTGATGAGCTAATTATGACCTTAAAATGGCGATAGATTTATTATCATATTTAGCTCATTTTTGAATCATTCATAGGTCATTTTTACAAGCTATTCTTTCTGCAATAATGACGAGATCCATACTAAATGATTTAAAGCATACTAGTACTGTTATATTTTGTACATAGCAATTGAATTAACCAGGTGTTGAGTATTTAGTTTCAATCAAACAAATTCTAAAGAGCAGGAGACACCCATTGTATGAACGAACGTAGGGTATCATTAGAATGATATTTCTTTATACCGTGTTCATTGAAGTCTGTAGATAATTTTCTCCTCTTCCCATAAAATGATTACTTTATTTAATAAAACGTATAAAGAATTATTTATAATACTACAAATGTGTCTATACTGCTACTTGTCTCCATACTTGTACTTGATATACTGTGTGTTTTAAGTAAATTTTGTTTTTCAATTTCATGTTGATAACAAAATGTTTGAAATAAATTTGAATTCTGTTTTAATTGTTCACCAGTATTTGTTCTCAAAAATACTCTTGTTAATAATTCATAATCATCTTCACGTGTTGCTGTTGTTGATAAAGACGTTCGAGATGATGATAATAATTTTGATGATTTCATCATAAATTTTTGACGTTGACGATGTTCTTTTGCGCGTTGTAAATGTCGTTTACGTTCATTTTTTGTCCAATATTTACCCGTTTTTAATTCGGACATATATTCTTCATCAGTTGTTAAACATCGTTCTTCTAATATTCGTTTTTCTCGTGCACGTAATATACGATTTCTTAACAGTAAACGTTGTTGACGATTACCAATATATTTGAATGACCATTGAGCTGGAAGTGATGGTTGAATTTTTGGCTTCATTAAAGGAGATATTGAATAACAATTTAGAACAACTGGTACAGGAGTAACAGATAGAAGAGGATCGGTAGTAGTTACTGTTGTTGCCGTAGTTGATTCTTCACATTGTTGACCCAGTCCACTGTCACTATCATATTTTGCATTGGCAAATACGCCATGTGAATAAATATCTTCACGAATTAATATTGATGCGATTTCATCCGATTCTGTATTCTTATAGTCATCACGAAATGGTAATGGCTTTAAAATTGTACTTTGTTTCTGAAATATTAAACTTCGTGAACGAGATATTGTAGCTCTACTTTCTTCTGTTACTGTACGCGAAGGAGCTCGCCAAGACATCGTTGTATCATTATGAACTAATAGAAAATCATTTAGTGATAAACATCGACGATAACGAATTTGTTTAGAGTATGAACGAATGAGACGACATATCCGACATGAACAGTAGTTTGCAGATGAAATTTGCTGTTCAAAGTGTGAGTTCAATGACGAGGGTTTAGGCAAATATTTTGTGTTATCAATATGTTGATTTAAATCCTAAAACAGTAGAATAATTCATAAATGTACTCTTTTTCATACTAAAGTTCATTTTTCGATTTGTATTCACCCTATTTAAACTTTTTGATTTATGATCCGTATCTGTTGCCACTACTACTCCACTATCATCTTCTTTTGCCGTATTGATGCAAACATCCGACGATGTTGTTGTGTAACAATAATTTGGTTTTATTACAGATTTAAAATTATTATCATCATTCGATGAATAACTGGCTGAAAACAGCGGCCATGGAAATGGTAAATGTTCTTGAAACTATATGATGATAGATGAGCAAAAAAACATAAAAAACTTTACTAGTAGAAATATACATTATGTTACCTGAAAACGAAATATTTGAAGTATAATTATGCAAACATTCTGTACTAAACGTATCGCTTCATCACGACTTTTCACTTCTTTATTATTTATTTTTAATATTTGATCACCAGTTTGAAGACCATTTGAATGATAGGCAACACTACCGGGTTCAACCTAAAGTTTATATAGTTTTGTAATACTAAAAATATGTATATTCTCGAATTGTAGATTACGTCTTGTATATAAATATTTGTGGCACTCGCTGTTATACCATAGCATAAAGTAAGACCAAGTCTCTCATTGGGATTATTTCGACGAAGTATAACATCCTTAAACAAGAAAAAAAAAGTCGTTTCTAGTTATTTTTGTTAAATATGTATTGGGAGATAGAAAATTATGTATTTTCTATTAAAATAAGTCTAAAATAGTTTCTTTTTGTGCTGAACAAGTACAGTTATGTGTCTTTTGAGCAAAATTTTTACAACTGCTTCAAGAGACCTCAATCATTTAAGCACAATACATAGGTATGTTGTTATGAGGATACTTAAGACAATTTATAATGTTTATGGTAGTATTTGCCTTCTGTGAACATAAATTGATATTAACTTATCTAGATATAATTTCGTGATCTTGTATACGCGTGTACTAACGAGAAAATATAAGACATAGTCAAGGTTGACAGAACCTTGCCAAAAGACTTTAGGGAAAGATAAAATAAATGATACAGTTTTTATCGTTAGTATCTCATACATACATGCGCGTACACACATAAAAAAAATTGTTACTTGTTTTTTTTTCTTAAATCGAATCATCAACATTCGCTTGATCACACATCGAGAACACGCGAATAACAGATTATAATGTGTTGCAGATCAAGGAAGAAGTTGAATAATGAACTATTTCGATTAGTGGGATAAAATACTCGGTTTTTAAGAGGGAGCTGATCTCATATAGTGTCAGAAAGTATCCATTATGAATAGCGTATAAATATGTGTGTTCTAACAAGTGTTCTAACTCGAGGCAGTATATTTTAAACAAACGTTTGAAAGCAAAAGAGAAGCAAGTTTTAATTTGCGTCGGAATAGGTTGAAGACTCGAACCGATTTAGGATTCCAAAATGTTGACTCGAATCGAATCGAATTAGATTTTCCTGATTTGTTTCGGGCTCTGTTGTCTGTTCACTGTTTTTTCAAAGTAATCATCCATCTGTTGACTATAGAACTGTTTCTGTATACATCTTTGACTAATGCACTCTTGTTAAGAGAATTGATAGTGTTCATTTTTCTTAAAATACCAACATTAATGTCGGCAGTTTTGAGAGGGTGAGAAAAGGCAATGCTTTTCTTCCTTTGTCCCAAAATCTTCTGTTTTGCTTTCGTTTTTCGCTTAAGGAATTCGTTTCAAATGTCGGAACATTTTGGTCTACAAAACCTAAAGTGGTTTCGTCAATTGATGCAAAATCTTAAAATGGTTTCGTACAAAACGGTAAAAGGTTTCCTACAAAACTCATTAAGTTGCAAATTCGAGAAAGTTTCGTAACCTTTTGCAGTTTTGTACAAAACCATTTTAAGATTTTACACCAATTGACAAAACTATTTAAGATTGATTTCGTAGATCAAAATTTTTCGACATTTGAAACGACTTTGAAACTTCAAGCAGAAAAGGCTTCGTAGGAAACCATTTTTTTTTTAGAGATTACTTCTGACACATACACATGTCTAGGAAATATCAGCTCTCAAAACCGAACTGTTTAAAAGCGAAATTTTACGATTTGATTCATAATGCCGAATTCATCTTGTCTTTGGGTAAAAAAGAAGCGTAGTTATGAGCTGGCTCGTCTCTTAGGATCCAGGAAGGATCCTAATATGAAAGAAGGCATCTTCGGCAGTATAACAGTAAAATGTTCGGTCAATAAGTGAAAGATGTGTGATTCGATTACACAAATAAGAATTGTTTCTTTCTTCCATCTTATTGCCATGATATCTCGCTAATAAAGCCTGAAATAAGTAACATCCTACACGTCATTTTGGAGACATTTCGGCTACCCATCTCAGCCGTTGAAACGTCACTATATTAGATGAGCTACTGTTGAACGGTGACAGTAAGGATCCGTAGACGATCAGTTTATTAAATATTGTTGCATTGGCTGACCTCAACATGTATAACTTTTTTTTTTATTGCAAATCACAGTTCATGCAGTGCGGTTGAACAACCATTTGGGAAATTTTGTGTCTGTTGTTAATTCTGTACGTTTTTTTTCAATTGTGTATGTATGTATATATTTGTCCCATGTAACAAAAACTATTGCTCAAGAAGAATAAAAAGAACTTGCCGCCTGATCAATGTACACACACGACACAAAGATATATCGTATTACTCGCGTTGTATTGTTTGAACAATATTTGTTAACAAAACACTCATACTACTTTGATCTATTTTTATTATTTGATAGATTTATAAGCAAATGATAAGAGTTCGGTATGAAGAGAAAAATATCTGATTAAATATAAGTTTATCCAGAGTGGAAAAAATCATTTCATACGAATATAGATAACCATTTTGTATTTTAAGATCAAACGATTTTTTTAGAAAAAATTAATATTTTTTGAAAACGATTAGTTTTTTGTTTAGGAGATTTTAGGATTGCTTGAGAACAAAAATGACTCATAATCAGAGAAAGCAACAATATCTGACAGTGAGCCGTTTGATAATATTTCTTCAAAGAGAGGGTATTTGTTTATGCTGATAAGTTGACAGAGAAAAGAGCGAACACTCAGTTCGCGAAATAGTCGATGAATTACATGTACGTATATATTGTAAAACATGAAAGTATATATTGGTGATATATCATGTCTATTTATTACAATAACCACGAGAATCTAAAATGATAACCTTTTCCCAACTAACAATATCTGAGTACCTGTAATGTCTTCTTTCTTTCTTTCTATGTCGATCGATAGATTTGGAAGAAGTCGTTTATCAAATTTTCAATGATCTTATTTCTGTCTATATATGTTTACATGCATGTCTATACATCAATCTTATGAACTCATAACGATGAGAGAACCAAAGATATGTCATTGTGTTTATTTATTTATTTATCTATATCTCAATATAACGAGAAAGAAATATTTTCTATTGATTTATAGATGCTGCTGATATAGTAAAAAGACATGAACCGAGAGAGAAAGTAGAAATACTGGAGATGTTTTTTTACCACTAACATGTTATCAAGGCATATTTTCAATTTAATTTACCTTTTTATTGATTAATGGATTATTCCATCAACAGAACGACAGCGTATATAATATTTAATCAAATTAGTTTTTTTCGCTGTTTCGTCATATATTTAACTGAAACTTGTTTAAACTAACAAAATCAGTATGAAAGAAAATAAGAGTAATGTTGATTTACAGAATTTCTCAAAATTATGTCATGTATGATGTAATTGATCCTTATCACAAGTAAATTTAGTGTAAATAGATTTCTATTTGTTCTTTTATCTCTGTTAAATATTATATATCTGAAATCATCATCAGGATAGTTACGACAGTACGTTTTACGCACGATTACAACAACTTTATGTTTAATCATATGGTTTCTAACACAAACATGAACACGTCATCTCTTTTGATCTGTCAATTATACGAATAAAAATAGATTTTTAATCAAACTGTGTATACCGTTATATATACTAACTGACATATTCATCTCTCAATCTAAACTAAGTCTTATATTGTGACTAATTGTGTATAGTCTTTATAGTTTATCTAATTTATTGATATTTTATATCTCAAGGCAAAATAAATATTCAAAACAAGTCGATTTCTAATAGTTCTGCTGTTTAATGAATAAATCAGTTATAGAAATTCACAAGTTAACAGGACTATTCATTCTTTAACTTATTTAACCATGCAAGAAAAAGAGACATTAATTGTCTATTTAACTATATATAGCCTTACTAGTAAAGAACATCCTTTAAAGTCAATAATCGTAAAAAAAATAAGTCTATATTCATACCTTAACTGTAATGCCATTAAAACCCAACTGGACGCCGGGAAGAGTGTTCGATGAATTATACGTATGTTTATGTTGAGGTGAGGATTCTGTAAATTTGAGATTTGTATTGATTAATGAGCTCAAATCACTAGAATAATTAGAAACAATAGTATTCGATGGATAGGAGTGTACGCTGTAACTATAATATACTCTCGTTTAATCTCTATATCAACATCGACAGCAACTAGATCGAATATTTTGTCATTTACCCACCGGTATCACTTCATGAGGAAGTTTATATATCATTTATCATTTAATTAGCTATGCCTTAATATTGTCCCTGAATACGTTATTATACAGTTATCAGGTGCAATTATCAAAAAAGATTGAAATCGAAAAAAGATGACACACTTCTTTCAAAGTATACAATAACAGTATTAAATCAAATGTGTAACATGTGACTTGATAGAAAAAATGAGACGTCAATTCCGAATATGTTTTCTTCTGGAAAATACATTCCTTATGACCTAATTAAATATCATCAAAGACGGAAAATTGTTTTTGAATTAAAAAAATTGTAATATAATATTATTAAAGGATTTATAGTATTAAAAATTTTTTTTAAAGTTGTTGTTCTTGTTGGTTTATAAAAACACTCGTTATAACGTATATCTATTAGTATATCATCAAAATTAGTCAGGATGTTTCTCCCGTTTGTCATTTGGTTTGCTGCTATTTTCGTTCAAACAGCATCTGTTCGAATTTACGAACAATGTGGAGGTATCGGATATACCGGATCAACTCAATGTGATGGAGGTCTTCAATGTTTTCGTCGTACAGAATGGTTTTCATCTTGTCAAACATCATGTCCTGCAGGATGGGAGTGCATAACACAGTATGGAGGTGGTGCTGCTCAACCTTGGGATCAATGTGGTGGCGATGGTTGGCGTGGAGCAGTGGGATGCACAGCTGGATACAATTGTTATGCAAGAAGCATTTGGTATTCACAATGTCGACCAGATTGTCCAGGTGATTGGATTTGTTCAGGCTACGTGGTTCCTACTGCACCGACTACAGTTCTACCCACCACAGTTCAACCCACTACAGTTCAACCCACTACAGTTGAACCTACATTGAATTCTACTACAGCAATCAATGTCACAATGCCGTCAACTGATGCTCCAGTTACTGATGGTGACGATGAAGATGAAGATGAAGATGACGATGAAGATTATAGTGATATAGAAGAATATGTTGACAATGGAGATGACGAAGAGCTTGAAACTGATGACTTTCCAGATCCATCCGAATATAATCTAGACGAACAACAACAGAAGGAAGACACAAATACATATGAGCCAGATGAATTTGACGAAGATCGTAGAAAAAAACGAAGCCTAGCAAGTAAAAAAGTTATTTTTAGAGGATCTAAAAATTGCTTGCATAATCTCATAAATGAATAGTACTAGGATCATGCTTGGAGTTTGTATTTATGTGATTTATCTTATCTATATATATCTTTTTTGAAGTTTCTTCACGAGCTGGTTGCTCTGTCAGTGGTAAATCTGGTACATGTATCGATACAAAGAAATGTACAGGTACAACCCATGCTGGTCACTGTCCAGGAGCTAAAAATATTCAATGTTGTATAAAAAAAACGGCTGCCGCTGGTTCTGGTACAACATGTGGTTCATATGCCGGTACAAAATCAAGTGGAATCAAAGGCAATGGTGGTGTAACCTATAGTGTTGTTAAAGTTAAACGTACACATTTGGCAAATCCATCATCTTATTCATTATCATCCAGTCAAAGTGATAATACAATGACAGCAAAAACTGCTTGTGCATTTGATAAAATGTATACAGCAGCATCAAAAGCTGGTGTAAGTATCAAAATTGCCAGTGCATTCCGTACAGTCGCTCGTCAAAATTATTTTTGGAATTGTTATGTAACGAAAAAATGTAACAATGGAAATCTAGCTGCACGTCCCGGCACATCAAATCATGGAAAAGGTCAAGCACTAGATTTAAACACAAATTGTGGTAAACAAACGGGTGCACGGCCAGCTTGTGGTGGATCGAAAGTGTATCAATGGTTATACAAAAATGGTCATAAATACGGTTTTACTCGTACAGTAAAAAGTGAACCATGGCACTGGGAATTTAAAGGTGTGGGAGTTGGAAGAGCATCCTTTTCATAAATCTTGTCACAGTTATGTCAATATTACAAGAACATTATTTTTGAAAAATAATTTTTTCCAAAAAGTAATTTGTAACATCTTTGATTCAAAGTAACAGCTTAAATTCAGCTGTAAAAAAATAATATTAAACGCTTAGAAATTCATGATACATATTTCGCTAATATTTTATCTAATTAGTGATTGTTTTTTTTTATCGTGATGCTAAGACTAGGTGTTTAATGAAAAATTATTTCGATAATAACTGGTCTGAAAATGACTTTATAAAAAGAAAAATTCATTATATAGTGATATCGTTTCACTTGACCTCGTATTAACGATGTTCTCTCACCATCACATGATTTGATTGCATAACAATCGTTTTCTTATCACTCGCTTGCATATCAACACAGATGTGTGAAGGAAAAAGAAAAAAAAAGTATCAAAAGCTTAACTGTATACGATGATGATGATGATAATGATGATATAGGAGAAGAGAAAAATTAATTTTTTTTAATGAAAACACATACGTTTGTGTTTTTTGATTTTGATGATGTGTCGCATGATTCAAATGAATTTTATTTAATTCACATTCAACATTTGATTGTGACCAGGGATTGATATAACCATTGATCGATGATTTATTTGCTGTCACGTTCTGAAATAGACAAAAAGTATATCGAATTATAATATATACAAAAACAGCTTTACTATTTGGTAAAAATTCAAACACGTATATATCTCTTGCGAACTATACATAAGAAGAAGAAGAAGAAGAAAAAACGAGTTCAGGGACATTTTTGTGTCCTTCAAAATAAGTAACTATCAGAATAATGTAGAAAAAATTCGATGGGAAAAAATAGGATTTTTTTCGTCAAGGATGGGACAAACAATGGGAACATGTTCTTATCATTTCGGTCAATGCATAGATAATGAGTGGACAATTCGAGTCATGGAAAAAAATAGAGGAAACAATTAAAACTAGTTTTATTGAACTACTATGTTAGTTTCCATTTTTTCAAGACTTAAATATTTAATGTCTTGATACTATACAATCTTTATTGGTCAACATTTAGTCAAATTTTCTCCGCAAAAATATAGAAGACAAACAACATTTTTTAGATTTCATGTTTGTTTTTCTGTAATAGACGCTATTTTTTCATAGTTCTTGTTTTTTAACAGTTCTATGAATATTTTTTTCTTTTTTACAATTTCCTAATTTGATAATGTCAGACAAAGTCTTTTCTAGTTATATGAAATTCTATCTATAATCTAATTAGCAACGTCGTTAACAGTATTTAGATAAATTACTGTCAATATTTCTTGAACAACAACATCAAGAATAAGGAAAAAAGACTTTCGATTCATGACAAAAAAATAACTGACAAGTAAAATAAAAGGCAGAAAATACATTTGAGAATAAAAATAACCGATTTTTGATAACATATTCGTTTTTTGGGTTTAGTACAAACTTGTCATCAAACAAATTATTACTTTTTTCTCAGTTTTAAAAACATCACATATCACATTCTAAATTGGTTGTATGACGTTGAAAAGAGAAATAAAACATACGAATTATAATATTTATACAAAATTACAGTTTGATCTAAATTCTTGAACTTAATCTGTCTTTCTCATCTATGTTACTCTTTCTCATATAAGATATTATTCTTAAATTGACAGCGGTAGAAGAGCAGTCTAATTTATATTCATCAAGGTTACAACAAGCTGAGCAAAAGAGAGAGAGAGAAACTTATGAATGATTGATTTTCGACAAAGAAATATTATTTTTGTGTTTATACGATTAGATGGTTGATTAAACAGAAAGGATGTTTCTTTCTCTCTCTTTATTCCACTTCTTTCTTTCCACTCTAGATCGATAAAGGCGTTTACATAAGCAAGCACAAAGTAATAATTAGAAAAGATCTATGTTATCACACCCATTAAACACTTAACGTGTGTAAAAAAAAAAAAAAACAAAGAAAAAAAAAACGGAAGTAAAAAAGAAGTCACAATGTGTGTTCAAGAAATCAACCTGTATAACATATTTTTTCATTATTGTAAAAATAATAACAAAAGACTACCTAAGGGAACAGTGATCATCTTCCTTTTGCAGATAAATAAAATATACAAAAAGAAAAAAAAAAAAAAATGATGAACTTTTTTTCCTAATCGAAACCTTGATGTTTATCTATTTTTGTATAATCAATTTTTCTTCTGCAAGCATGTAGACGAACAGATGTTCATAAAGATGGTTACTAGAAGATATTGATATGAATTAAAAAATGTAAGAATAATCTAAATTATACACAAATGATTTCTCTTAGGATAGTCTATGTTTCATTTGAAAATTAAAGACTAAAAGAATAAAAATATCATCTCATTAGAGTAAAACAAAATTTAACGTTAATTCTGTTCAATAAACATATCTGAATAATTGAATAAGAGACAAAGAATTTACATTTTTTATGATTTTCAATTAGTTTAATTTTATTAATCGTGTATTTCAAAAATAATGATAGTGTGTATTTCTTTATCAAAGACATTAAATCTATTTATTTTTCAATATATTTTCATATATTTCAAGTGTAGAGTAGAAAGAAATAGTTGAAATTTAATAAAAGTACAGAGAATATCTTGTTACACGTATATCTATATTATAATTGACTAAAAATTCAACTTCAAATATAAATACTCTGTTGTTTTTCTTATTTTTGTTTTTTTTTTGTTTTCGCTTTTGTTTTCGCTTTTGCATTTATGTCAGTGTTCGAAAATATATAATCAAAGAAACAATGAAGTCATTGTTCTAAATAGAGGAAATAAGAGAGATAAGTGTATTATCTGTATTATCATTTATGGCAAGGAATATAAAATCAGATATATATATATATATATATTCTTAAAATAAAAAATAAATCCTATAAAAAAATTATAAATGTGTGTTCGTTTGATCACCAGTTATAGAAAGATATTGACTGTCAGTGTTCTTTAAAATATTCCCTATTGTATCTCTCTTCATATTTTGATAGAGAGAGAGAGAGAGAGAGAGAGAGATAGGTGGTCATAAATGCCTTTAGCAATAAGAAAAAAACTATTTGAAAATATTCAATTAATCCAAATTTTAAAGTGTATCCACTTTTTCATACTTAGAAAAAAGCATAACAATAAAAGTAAACAAAATGGGGGAAATTTTAAATAACACTCAAAATATTTTGAAAAAAAAAACAATATTTGACCTAAACATCAAACAAACGAAAAAAATTTGGATCTATTTAATATATATATATTTTTTTCCCTTTTGCTTCAATGAAGAAAGATTATTTGACTGAACTACCAATATATATATATCAACGTTTATATACGCATGAATAAAATTTTACATTACTACACTAAATTTGTGTAAAGTTAAATTGCATAAAATCTTGATAATCTCAGTGACTGTAGACGTATAAACGATGAAAAATGAATATGAATAGAAATATTAAACATTAAATAAAACGATAAATAAATAGACGAATATTTGTAAAATGTTGTTGAAAGCTTCTCTGTAAAAGATAATAATTTGCAAATTAATGCCATTAGTAAGTGATGTTTCTAACATTTATACATCATACTCGAAACAAAAAAAAACAAAACAAGTGGAATGCGTTCATGATTGTAATGGTTATATAGAAACTACTCTAAGCTAATAAAATAGGAAGAAAAGAAAAATGATTAACAGATTAAATACTCTCAATCTTTAGTAGTAGAATGATAAAATCTAAACTGATATATAACGAGACAATTGTCAATTGATCGATTGTTTTCTACGTCAAATATTTATTTTTCCAGTATGATAGTTGAGATTAATGATGACAATGAGTATCTCTATATATGCTTGTTTCGAAAATTTAATATTCAAAATTATTTTCTAATGCAATGGCTTAAAAACAGTACATTCTCATTGATCCCATTGCAAAATATATTACAGATTGTACAGTGTCAAAGTAGCCCTTAATTCTTTTACCTACCAAGGAATCATCCATCATCCATTTGTAGAATTGTTATAAAAAGATAATAAAGCATGTGATAAAAAAATGGATTACTTTTGAGAACAAAATAATTTCATAAGCTATTGATTGATAAGAAAATATTTTCTTTTTCACCACTTGTTGCTGTTTCATGATCTTTTTATAGAAATTCTACGAACGGGTCATGACTGATTCCTAGGGTTAAAGACACATTTTAATAGCGACGTTATTTTTACTGATCGTTTTTTCAGAAAAAAAGTGGACTATTTCCGCTTCGAACACTTCCTAAATCGTGATTCATCAGAAAATTTCTGATTTTTCTATGATTAGAAGGAAACAGTACGAATTGGTCCAGATGATGATGGTTTGCATCAAATATTAATTAGCTTTATCAGTGATCGACAAATAACGCAAGTAAACCTGATGTTTGAGAGTTAAAAAAGAAAGTTTATTCTCACATTGAACAAAGAAGAAAGTATCGTTCTAATTTTCATATGAAAAACAAGAGTAAAATCTATTTATTTAACTAAAAATATTTGTGTTAAAATAAGTGTTGTTAACTCTTCTCAATTTGTATACTACTTAAATGTGTAGAAAATTAGCGACACGGTTAGTATGTTTGTTATTATAAAAAGAGAATACGAACACTTGTATAATCAAAAAATCTTCGTATGAATAATATATATTAATTGCACTTACATTGTTGTGTTTTTTTGTTGTACTACAAAATAGTAATTTAAAACAGCATCCACAAAAGAAATTCATTTTATTACATAGTAGAAATATAAAGATATTTTACTATCATTCAAACTTTATCCTATCGAAAAGAAAAAAAGGAAATGGATTTATCATATCTCTCTCGTTCTATATTATATATAGCATATTCTATGTCTCCTTTTTCTATTACATTTTTTTGTTGTTTTTTTTTGAGAGAGAAAAGAGAGAAAGACTTCTGTTTTGTTTAATGTAGAAACAACGAAAAAATTTCTCTCTTCATATATCAAAGCGAAAAGAATATTTTTTTTCAAAATTTGTTTTCTTTCTCCCTCTCTCTCTCTGTCTCTCTTTTATTCTTCTGTTCTACTGATTATAATAATGCCGTTTATGATGATCTTCCTCATTTTTTCTTGCGTTCCGAGAAAGATATGTTTATATAGTCGTCTGTACTTCTTGTGTGATATATGAGCTTCTATAAACATGTGCGACAAGATATCATTTGAAATCTATATGTTATCAACATATAAAAATGAAATCTAGACATACCTAATGAAATACCATCGTACATAACGCTTTAATTGTGCACATACACGCATAACAGATAACGAAGATTTCATGTGTGTCAATGACGAGATATCGAAGAAGTCGAGCAAATGTAAAATTTAATATGAAATAAGAAATAACTCAATTAGAATCACTCACTTTTTTTGCAAAAGGTGTACGCAAACAGAAAGTTGAAACTAGTACCAAATAGATTTTCCAAAATATTAAAGATGTTCTGCAGATGAAAGTTAAAAATAGATGCAAAATAAGGCAAAAGTCCGTAACTATTCTGATTGTAGCATTAATCAAATACCAAAAAAATTCCAACGTAAAAGAGGCAAAAAAGCTGTTAGTTCTTAGCACCGAAGAGTTTAAAAATATTTTCTAAAAGTCGAAACAGTTATAATTAGTTATAGATCGATTTATGACTAATCATTTATAAATATTTGATTTATAAGTTGTTTTTCACTTATCCAAGGATTAAAAATAAAATGAGTTTAAAAATTATTTATTTATAAATCACCGTATTAATAAACTCTTTAGTAGTTCTTAATGCAACAAGATACATCTGTTGTATAATTTTGTCAAACAATGTTCTCTAAGTTTAGAAATTTTTCCACGGAAGTAACTTGACATACTCTACAGTCAGGTTCTATCTAAATGTGTCAGCTTGAAAGTATCTTGCAAAACCTCTAGAGGTTCGATCTTTGAAGACTGATTCTCAAACACCCTGTGGGCACGAATGAAGACCAGAATCGCAATCATCATCAAACATAATCTCCGAAATTTCTCTGTTTTATTGACATTAAGGTGTCACATTCTTAGAAAAATTTCCTCATAAGTGTAGTATACTGAATTTACATCACCAGGGGTATATTTTTCCGCTCAGCAGGATCAAAGTATTAAACGAATAGAATGCTGAATCTGTTGAATTCATTAAAAACTGAAAGCAAGTGTTTTCATTCAAATGAAAGCACTACAAATACAAATGAGTCATTACCGTTTTATTTTAAGTTCACGTTTTTATATCTAACTTAACATTGGAAAAAAGCAAAACATGCACTCAGACAGGAGAAAAACTAAATTCTGCTTTGAATTATGTAAATAATATATGTTTCTTCAATTTCAGACTTCTATTTCTTATTATTAGTCAAATTACGACGATAGCTTTGTGAAACTCTAACCACAAACAAAAACGATTAGTGAATTATGTCACATATGACATAATTTCCTTAATTATATTAAGTATTGAGTGGAGGACTTCAGACAGTCATTATTTATATTATGGGCCAGAAACACAAAATGTTTTCTTCAAAACATTAACGTGTTGACATCTCATAAACGTACTATAAGCGTATTTATTTATCTCACTTATGGTGTCCTGCACATTTAAAGGTTTTCAACGCTGCATAAGAAACTCTCGTAATAATCAATAGAAAAGAGAATTTATTTATACATGTATCTTCTAGGTTGACTTTAGGAGTGTATATAAAATGGATTCGTGTGGCCAATATCATTTTTTATCACAAGTGTTAAGCGTAACAGATCGACAACTTGACGGCTTTCGTAGCGCTGTTTTTGAAAATCGCACTGGCTGTCATTTGCTGGATGCTACTTGATAATCAGAGCCAGTCCACGTAACGGTCTACCAACATGCAGGAGGTTCAAACAAAATTTTTCTCTGAGATAAATCTTAAACACACATCATCGGACAAAGTTTGGCTTGCTGGGTACGAATATCAACCTGTAAACGAATAAAAGTTTAATTTTGAATGTGGAACTTTAAATTTGAATTTAACTTTGTTTGAAAAACTTGCGCCGCCAACTTCAAACAATGTTTTTGACTTCATTTTTGGCTGTATCAAGTAAAGGACACATTTTTTGCTCAAACCAAAAACGCTTTGATATTGGTTTAGTGATTTGTTTTTGCGAGTCAAATGAATGTCACAAGAGATTGATCAAAAGTGGAAGTAATCTGGCAGAGTTAAAAAGTGACATGCAAATACCAGTTAAACCATAGATCAACTGCAAACTTCTTTCACGAATGTTCTGGCGTAGCATGCGAGATATCTGGAGTGACAGTGAGGCGTTCTAAACAATGGTCTCTTCCGCAACAAGCTGGATCTCGATTATTGGTCTTCTATCCTGGGTGGATCTACTGTTCCCTCTGACGTTCTCTTTTCATTTGTAGGCGTCTCAAAAGACAAAGAAAAACTTCTTAAAACTAGGTAGAATAAACAGCAAAAAAGATTAATAAACACTATTAATATCGTCGTTTCTGCTTCTTAGTTCGACTTTTCCGATCCAATTTCTTACTCTGATGCATGATTGGGAAAGAAAACTGAGGGTTTTTTTGTAGTCGAAAGAAACGAATCCCTTTTTATCTTTGACCGTTATTTTTAACACACTAGTCGATAATCAGACCAACATGAACACGAAAGTTTTCTTAACTCTGACAACTCAAAGTCTTTTCTTCTAACAGCTGATTCAGAGCTGAAAAATCTGACCGGAATCAGCTCTTAAATTGTTAAAAACATAAAGTATGAAACTAAGTAATGTTTCCCACTCATTTACCTCTGAGGAGCTCTTTTAACTGAAGTTTTCCATGTAGACTTATTTCGACGAGCGTTTGCTCAATTGTTTTGTTATTTAAGCACTTACGATACACCAGTCCCTCATTTTAGAAAATTTTTTCATGTTAATGACAAACGTGATGATATGGTAGAGTGACATATCTTCTACAAAATAAGACTATATCTTGTTCTGCATGACCTCTCAGTAGAAAAATACAAATTTTTTAAGGTTTGTCACTTTATTTTGAAAAAACTCTACTTTTCAACTTTTGAAATTTTTCTTTATCCCGGTAGTTGAAAATTTTTCAAATAATCAATCTTGTGGAGGGAAGAGTTCTGACAAAACGGGATGTCAGCCAATTTCACACCGTGTTTTCTGATAGGGTTATAACCATTGTTCTGGAAGCTCTCCAAAAACTGAGTTTCGCGTTCAAAATATTTTATTTTTTTGATAGTGCGCTCAATCGGTCTTGCTTACGCTCCGCGAACATTCATGCGACTGAGGCCGATTTACCAGCGCTCTATGAGAAAAACGTTGCAACGTGAAACTCAGTTTTCATCGTCCCGTGCCTCGTCAAGCTTTCAAAAGATCTTCCTCGCGATTCTCCGCGGGGTCTCGTGGGGATTCTTGTCCATCAACCATCTCTGATACGTACTACAAAGTATCTATTTGTTTCAGCCATAAGTTTACGTCGATTCGAGTAAGAACGGGTGTAAAAACAACATCTTTTTCTTACTTGAGTTAGGATGACAGTCAAGTGGTGAGAGATCATCTATCCCATAACAAGATGTACCATAGATTCAGTTTATTTACTCAAACTATATAGAAAAATCAATAAAAATTAAAAATTTATATCAATTCTACCAAAATATAACATTATTATTCCTGAACTAAATCCATTAAACGAAATTTTGCAATTTGATTTATTTCTATCAGTGCTTGTTCAATTTCTTTATCAATTGTATCATGTTTTAAACGTTCTTCGTATGCGCGTAATATTGCTTCTCTTGTTTTATGATGTTTAACGGCACATATAAATGGTATACCAAATTTTTGTTTATATTCGTCATTTATTTGTTGAAATTGTTTATATTCATCTGGCGTAAGACGATCTAAACCCAGACTCGATTGTTCATTGACTGATTCCGATGACATTTTCATTCGACTACCCAAATCAGGATGAGAACGAATTAATTTTAATTTATCGTCATTGGATAGATGATTAACAACATCGACCATGTGTTCATGTAAGTCGGTTAATGACTTGAACGGACAAGATATCCATGTTTGTTGAGCAATTGACGGTGTTTTTTCATAAATAGAACCGAACAACAGAACAAATTCATCTTCAGTTAATGAATTTATTTCTGTGAGTGAATGTGTCATATTAACAACAGCAAGAAGTATATGTCTAAAATTGAGTTTATAATACTATGACAGTGGAAAATGAAGTAAGTAATGAAACTGATAAGGAAAAAAGAAGAAAAACATAAGTAACTAACTTATCCACTCAAAAGAAACAAAAAATAAAATAGTAACGTGTTTTAACGAGTGGATTAGGAATAATAATAATAGTTTAGCATCACATAAATTAATCAATAGAAGGACTTTTTTTTGCATATAGTTGTGTACAAATTTGTTTTTTTCAAGATATCACAAGTATCATCTGATAACTCGTTTAATAGGTAAGGGCGTGTGCTAATCGGTAAATTTGTTTACTGACACCGCGATAACCGGTAAAAAAAGCTTTACCGTCAATTTTTTTTTACCGATATTCGGTTTTGGTAAACTTGTTTACAGTTGCTTATTTCCTAAAGGATCTTGAAACATTTTAAACCCGTGCTAGTTGCGGGTTCTGAATTTTTATAATTTTTATCACCATATTTAGCATACTCTCACACACATACACTTCTGACAGTTTAAACCTGTTGATAAAATTATTTTTAAAAATATTTTAAAGAGAATGCAATTACGTTGAAAAGAGAACGTTTCTGACTTTTTGGAGAACGAAATATTTTTTAGATTGAATAGAGAACGCTTGTCAACGGGGTTGTTGGTGCCGCTCCGCAATATTCATTTCATATTGCCAAATGTACTTATGATTTTGTGAATAATAAAAAATTATGAGTTTTTTGAATATTCTCATGCACGGGTGATAGATAGTATACTTATTCAAGCTAATACGATATAATCAATCCAAACTACCATGACTGCTTTATTGTTTTCTCACTTTATGATAAAAAATGCATAAGAAACTGTCGAGTTCTTATTAAGATGTGATTCAGTCTGCCACAAGTTCTCACACAACAGTAACCTAGATCAGTCAACAATTTTTTTTGTCCAAACTAGAACAAAAAGTATATATTTTAATCAATAAAAAATTAACGAAGTCTTTTGTTTGCGGAAGGAACAAGAATTATTTTAGAATAGAAACCTGAAATTTTGATTTAATCAAAACATAAAAATAGAACAATTAAATAACAAAATCAGAATTATATTTCTCTAGAATCGCAAAATAAAACGGTCGTTTGTTTGGTTCATAATATTTTTTCTTAACAAGTCACTTTATCCTGCACCCTACTAACAGATTCCTCACCTCTGATCGTTGAACAAACCTACTTAGTATAAAAGAAGAAAAAGATTTTTTAGACAGGGTGAGCGAACAATTGCGCCTAATTAGTTTGCGATGATCCTGTAGCACTCATCAAGCACGGTTGCTATTAGTGTGCGTTGCACTCTGTGACCTTCAAAGTTATCTGCCAATAACAGCTGTCAAAAATGGCCAGTATCGAAATTTGAAAAAAATGGTAAAAACATTCGAATTCGTCAAAAACTTGCATCTTCATTGACTAAAAGACACAGCGTATTAGTCTGAAGGCGACCGATGCCATCTCAGTGTAAGTTAAATGGTTTTTTCGTTCTGTCTCGCTGTATTTTTTTCTGTTAGAAGAGCGTAAAAAACTGCACAACATGACATATTTTTTTATTCTTAACAAATAGTTTTGCGGACGAAATAATCTGTTTCAGAATACAGTTTCGTGAAATTTCAGATTCTCAAGAAAAACCACTAAATAAAATATAATACTCAGATTAACGGGCAATTGGCCAAAATATTCAGTTTATCAACCTCGATTTAGTTGAACCAAAACTGCACCTTAGTCTGTCTTCGTTAGGTTAAGATTCAAATTGGAAAATTTTTTGACTTTTGCTAGAAATGAAGACAACCCAAAAACTTGTAGTTTCTGTCGCAAAAAAACTCCGGATTCCAATAGAGCGTAAGATTTTAGATTTTACGTATGTATGATATGGTCTCCCTAGTCGAGACTCCCAGCAAAACTCCCACGGGACTCCTGTCACGGGGTCCTGCAGGATCCTGTAGGAGTCAGGTGGGACTTTCAGGGGATTTCTCAGGACTCCTGAAGACTTCCGTGGGACTTTGAGTATTCTGAGGACTTTCGTTGGACTCCCCCAGGACTCGAA